AATGGGAAATTAGCTCAGTGTTTGTTCTGGAAGGGTTCCCTTCTCCTCCTTTGTGTCTGCAGAAAGTCCCTTCACTTGGGTTCCTGCTGTAGCCACGTGGCTCTGGGGAACTGGAGCTCGGCAAAGGCTGAGTGTCGGCTCTCGGACGTGGTGGCTGCTGTGATGGATGGACAGATGGACATCACTCGGGAGCGATTTGGGTAGAGCTGCTCCTCCTCGGGAGGTGGGACGGACCTGGTGCAGATGAAGAGTGAGGTGGTCCTGGTGCCTCCTCTTCTTGAGAGTCTGGTGCGGATGAAGAGTGAGGTGGTCCTGGTGCCTCCTCACCTCTGCAGATGGGATGTAACATCTGGAAGGACAAAACATCTGGAAAGGGCAGTGGCTGGCAGGTTGCTTAAAACTCCTGCTTTGGTTTTCCGCCTGTCTGCAGCCTCTCCACACCACCACGGGGCAGGGGAAGCCACTTTCGTCCCTCTGCCGTGGCTCAGGGGTCTCTTCCAAGCCCAGCCGTGCTCAGAGGTGACTTCTCTTTCCTTCTAAAGGACGGACTTGGGAGTGAAACGTTGGTAAAGGTGAGCCAGTTCAGCTTCCCTCAGCCCCCCTGTGTTCATGGACTGCCAGGCTCAGCACCCTTGTTTCTCTCATTGGGAATCACCTGTAAACCCAATTTTAGTTTGCGTTCCCGTGGGAGGGAGGTGGTTATGAGATTTAAGGAGGAGAAATGTCCTGGGGAAGTTTTTAATCATGCATTCCTCCAAACCTGGAAGGAAGAAAAAAAGACCCTCCAGCTCTGCGCCGGAGCCTGGCAGCGTTATTCCTTACCTCGCTGTGCTCAAAACTTGATTTCACAGTTCACCTGAGGAATGACCCGGGTAAAACTTGACTGGGAACTGGAGCTGGCCAGAAGACACAAAAGCGAGAGCCGTTGTTCTCGAAAAAATGGCCCTTTTTGGCAAACAAAGCTGTACTGTCAGGGATCTGTTGGCACTTCTGGAATCTCCTTAATAACGTATTTGTAATGCTTGCCCGTATGCTCTGTTTATCAGATCCTGGGTTTACAGTAAACATAAGCTAATAACCATTTTTTTCAGAATATTTTCTTGGATGGTGCCCAGTTAAAAGGAAAAAAAAACCCCAAAACATGGAAAAAGGTCCATTTTCAGAGTCTGGCCCTGCGGTGCAGCTCTGATCCCACATCCCAAGAAGGCCGCTGAAGCCCCCCCTGCTTTTGGGTTGCTGGCACTGAGCAGGAACGCCGGCTCAACATCCCAGTAGGCTCGGGACGTGGCCCTAAGCAGAAGCCTGCTTGATGCGGAAACCACCGCCTGGGAGGCCCAAGGGCAGAGAAAGGCTGTCATACTCTGCCGGTGAAGACCAATGATGGAGGTGCCACAGGGCTGAGCAGGCCCTCAGAGGTGTCCCGGAGGGCACTGCCACGTCTCTGCCCAGGCTGTGGCTCTCACCGGGCTAAGGACACTTGCCTTCCCTGCTTGTTGTTGCGTCGGCTTTTTTTTTTTCTTTGGAAGGATCAAATTTTCCGATGACCTCATCCTGCCCTCAGATAGTCAATGTACATGTGCAAATGTCACTGTGGAATTTACCCAGCGAGGAAAAAGTAATCTGGATTTCTCCTCTGCCGGTTGAGCAGGACTGCACGGAGACGACGCAGCCACTGCGTTTCCCTTGCCTGGAGCTGAGACCTTCCAGCACATCCCTCCTGTGGTGGCTGGTGTCCCATAAAGAAAGACACAGCCTATAAAGATCCCAAAGTCATTGAAAGGCAGGTTATTCCTAAATGAGCAGAATAAAAAGTCTTCCCTTGACTAATAAAATCCAAAGGCACCGTGGGTTGAGTGCGGCTTCAGACGGGCAGTCTCCTTCCCTCCTCATCGCTCCGTGGCTCAACCAAGTCTCCCAGCAGGCACCTAGATCAATCCCTGGGCGTCGTGCACTCATGAACTGTCTATGGTGGTGTTCTTTGGAAAGTGCCTTTAGAGTGCAATGGCGTCGTGAGCCTCCGAGTCCTGCTCAGTGCATTGGAGAGAGACGTGTCCAAATGTCACACGCCGGATGCGTGACCAGACCTGGACACTTCTCGCTGCTGGTGGAGGTTTTGTTACTTATGACTGATAAACTTTTACGTGTTTTGATTGTAGTGGGTCCCCACGCCGCACCGTGCGATGCTTGTGTGATATTCGTTCGCTGCTCAGCCTTTAGACCTCAACCAGTGTGTGTGACATGGGGACATCTCTGTTGGGGGACAAAGGTGCAAGCTGCAGGAAGGTCATTAGCAGTGACTACAAAACGTTCACCCAACGCTCATCGCTTCATATTGCTGGTGGTTCAGCAGGGCAAGTCCCTCGGGCACCCTCCTTGGGTGGGGTGATGTGCAAGGGGATGGAGAAGGTTACACCACCAGGCACGTTCTCCTCTGCCTCACAGCTGCCTTGGCCCCTGGCAATGATGGGGCACATCTGGCGTGTCTCAGACCATGGAGGCTCCTTCCCACCTGAACAGGAGTTCAGCTGGAACGGTGGCTTTCACCAGAGCACCTCCTTAAATCACTTTTTCCCTCTGTGACCACCTCCCTACCCTGCTCTGCCCCAGAGGAGCTCTCCCAGCTCGCTGTAGGTATCAGCTCTGTGTCCTCTCCCTTCGGCACAGCAGTTTGCCACGTCCGTCCGCCAGCCCCACGACACTCGGGCCGTATTTCAGACAGGGCGGTTTTCTATGAGAAGATCAGGACACTGGAAAAAGGGAGGAGGTTACAGGCAGCGCGCCTGGCAGAAGCCTCCAGAAACGCAATTTAATAAAAGCAAAGTCGAGCAGCACAGACCCTGCTTTAACCTTTTTAATTTTTCTTCTCCATGCCATTATTAGTGCAAATAGCAAGACCCCATGAGACACCACATCGGAGCCGAGCTCTAGACCTAAGCTAGCTCTCCAGGGAAATAAACCCAGCTCTCCTGCTTTACTTGTGGAGGGCTGATTTAACATCCCTACCCCAAGAAGAGGGAAAACCCCACTGAAATGGGGATTTTATCCATCTCCCCTGCCTGCTGGCCCTGCCTGAGCCCCCCCATCACTGAACCTCTCTCCAAAGGGCATCGCTTTTGTTATCCCTCTTTTATCCAGGTGGAAACCTGCACCTCCCACTGCCCCTAAATTCTGCTTTAGTCCCCACGCTGCCAGGATGGTTTATCCTGGGAAACCTGGAACTGAGGGCTCCTGGGACAAAGAAAAAAAAAAAAAAGCAGCCTTTTGTGGCCCATGGGGACCAAGCCAATGAACTCAGTAGGGTTGGGTGGACACCGGTCAGATAAGTGTCTACAGTTGTCCACGTGCCACCGACCCTGCTCCCCCAGGCTTGTTTCAGCTGTGCCTGGTCTGAAGGTATCAGAGACATCTGCGCAGATATGAGGCAGGACTCCAGGGAGACCTGAGCCTTTCTGGAGTGGCACTGGGGGGACACAAAGAACCTCCCCAGGGGCCTGGACGCTCGTGCACCAGCGGCTGAATTGAGCTGTGAGAGTCTTTCCTCAAATACAGAGACCCCAGGATTCACTGCAATCACCCAAACTTTGCAATGCATCTTCTCCCTTCCCTCAGGTAATGAGATCCTTAGCTGGTACGGGTTCAAATTCTCCATTATTCAATGAGGCAACCAAAACAAATTTCTTGTGGGTCTTTTTGTTTCCTTAAATAAGATTTCACACCTTTGAGGGGCTGACTGCATTACAGAGGATCGAGTTAACACCTCAGCGGAGGGAATGGGAATCGTGGGGAATGCAGTCACTCTCTGCAAGATCTCCATCTTCTGCTCCAGCTCAGTTCAACACAGAGCAGCTTCCCCAGCGCTTATATTTTATGGGTACACCCATCAGGGAAAACCCATGGGTTTCTGTAACTAAAGAAATTCTGTTGAGAGAAATAAATCCATGTTGGGTTTTTTTTCCCCAGTCCCAGTCCATGCTGGGGCAGACTGCAGCAGCTTTGTCACCCTCAGGGGGATGGTGGGGCAGTACAGATGAGATCCATTACTGCTGGGTCCAAGAGTGCAGAAACAGCTTGATTTTCAGCTGGGACTTTCAGAAGGGACTTTCAAAAGGCCTTTTAAGAAGTTATAAATTGTCCCCATGTGAAACCTCTCTTAGCACCAGTAGCTCTGGACCTTGACTGCCTCAGCTGATAATAAATTCAGCACCAATGCAACAACCAGTATTTGGAGAATACTGCCTGCCTGCCTATGAAGCCAGAGCTGAAATCACAGGACTAGGGTTTCTGATGGTGATGGAGCTGAGGAAGAGCATCCAGACATGTGAGGACTGGTCCCAGTGTCTTTGACCAGGTCAAAGACAACTTTTAAAAACATTATCTGCACGATATCCACTTCCCATGGCCTAGTTTTGGCCAATCCAAGGCACAGCCTAGGTAAGAACAAAATGGAGTAGGGGAATAAAGGTTTCAAAGAAAATTTAGGATGACACCTGGACAAAAGCATCTTTTTAAAAGCTCGAGTCTATGGGACAACACTCCCAAGGAAGAGATGGAACGCGTGTTGCTTAAGCCCTGTTGAATCATCCCTAAGGGATGCACTGGAGGGAGCAATAGTGTATGAGCCTACAGATGGACCAGGCTGGAAACCTTCCATCCCCACGGCCACACAAACTTGTTCAAACCTGGGAAAAGTGACAGAAATAATTCAAGCTTGGGAACTGCAAATGGTCACATCCAACCGATGCTGTAGAGCTGTGCCCACTAAAACCCACGCAACCCCCTCCCCTGGGAGCACCCAACCCTTGGACTTAAGAGCAGCTCTTTTGCATACCAGTGAGTGGGATTTGGGGGACCAGTGCAGGCTGCTCCTCCGGGGGGGGCTGGGGGTCACGGAGAGGAGGATAGCCCCATCGTCTGCTCCATACCATATACTGAGACATGACAGCTTCTGTCCTTGCACCACCCAGCCCAGAGATTTGCTCATCTCTGCACCACGCCGATCTGCAAAGGGTATGGTAGATAAAAGGCATCTCTCTAACAGTCCTTTCCTTTTCTTCCTTCCCCCAGTGCCACTGACCTGTGCCTCCACCTCACCTCTGCGCTGCCATGGCCACGCCAGAGACGCTGCCCATTCTTAGTGACCCAACCTACCCCAGCCCGGAGAACACCCACGGTTTTGCTCCCCGGCCATCCCAACCCACCTCCCAGAGCACCATGGGGAGCGTGGGCAGCGGAGTCGCCAACGACCAAGAGTTCGCCATGAAGAGCGTGGGGACCCGGACGCAGAGCAGCGGCCGACAGACAGAGGGGCCTCGCAACGGGTACTCCACGCGGGAGATCTCCAACCGCTACTCGGGCGAGGAGAAGACATACAGGTCGGAGAAGGTCTCCAATTCCCTCTATATCAATGGTGACCTGCGCAAGAGCGAGAAGGTGAAGATGGACATCTGTGGGAACGTGACCAACAACAATGAGAAGAACATGCCGCCTCCTCCCCAATACCGAGAGCCCAGTAACCCACCAAAGATATTGCCAATCTCCGGCAAACTAGACCAGGTGAGAATCCCCACCTCCTGGAGCAGTGTGATGACCGTGGCACATCTCTAAAAACACAGACCAGGAAGCCTTGGGCAACGGTGCAATCCTGACAGATAGTCTAATTCTTACTATGTAGATGGCATCATTTTTATGTACAGAGAACATAATTCTTATTACTTTCAGGGGGTTGAGCAAAGGGGAATGTTAGTTCTTGAGGAACCCAAGAGCATGATCACAAGTCTTCCACAGCTAAGTTTCCAGCCCATTTAAGCCTGTATTTAAGTCACTGGCTATTCCAACCTACCTGAGATTCCGTGCCTGCCTCCCCGATTGATGGGGAGGGAGCTGGAGTCGGCTCTCATTTCGGTAGGTCCAGCATCTGAGTCCCACTCTTACGTTTTGTGCCCTTTACAGGCAATCTCCTCACTGCCACCAAAAGGTGCTGCTTGAAAGCAGCTATGAGCATCTCTTCAAAATCCCGGCATGAGGGACAAACTGACAAGGCTTGAAAACTACCCCGTAAGCATTATCACCCATCCAAGCCCAGTCCTCATGGCTCATATCGGCTTCGGGGAGCAAACACCTCCCAGGCCTGGAGGAGCAGAGCCCCAGAACCAGCAGTGTTTTATGTAGCCTGCTGCTCCGCTCCAGCGACTCCCATAATTTGTGCCCTGGGGACGCTGCCTCATGCAGTATCATTTCTGCAGCGTTCGGTGGCCTTGTCTCCGGGGTTGTTAATCCACCAGCCCCTGTAGTCCATCTCAGTCCCACGTGCCAGGCGCCAGGCTTTTGGTCTCCAACCTTGCCTGCTCACCAGGGCTCGTTCTGTTTCTCCTGGAAGGCACTTTCAAAACATCTTTGCTAATACAAAGCGGCTTCTTCTGGGTTAATTTTCACCTGAAACCCAACCTGCAGTAGGGGAGACTCAGTGCCATTTTGAGAAAAATTTTGTTTCTGTAGGTGCATTCACAGGGCGAGGAATGTGCAAGGTTTTAAAATCCTTTCCAAATCCTTTACAGCTGCGGTCCATTCTCCCCCCAGCATTGCTTATGGCTGCAGGGAACACAAACGTTCAAATGAAGAGCAGCTTCAGCACGTTCCTTGCCCGGTGTCACTGCTGGGGTCACAGCTCCTACCTATTCCTATCCCAGCGTAAGCAGGACATGATGTCCGCACAGGGGAGAGATGACTGCCGGCAGGAGGGAAACGTGGTGCTCCTGGGGCAAAACGGCTGCTAATCCAAGGGTTCAGTTCAGTTTTCAGCAAAAGGGAAATGCACCCTCAACGCTAGAAGTCCGTCAGAATATAATCTGCCAAAATCAAAGAGTTGTTTTGATCAGGTCTGGTGGGCAGGTGGCAGCCCTCCTTCTTGCAAAGAGCACTAAGAGGACCCAAGGAGTATTCTAGGGAAAAATCACGCAGATTTGGGGCGAGTCAAGATACTTTTTTTTTTCAGTTGGGACAAGGGAAGAGAAAGCGTTGCCCTACGAGTGACCAAAGGTCCCTCACGTTAAATCCCAAATGGCCCAGGGTGTAATAAGGCTGAGAAATATGGAACTAGCCCAAGACGTCGTAGCTCCACCAGCCCCAGCCCGTGCCGATGTATCTCTTTTGTGTGTTGTTACCAAGCTTCCTGCTATGTTTGATGCGTGGTCCTTTTTCCTTTTGCAGAGCAATGAGCCCTTAGTTAGACCCTCAGCCTTTAAACCAGTAGTTCCTAAAAACTTCCATTCCATGCAGAACCTCTGCCCGCCGCAGAGCAACGGGGTGACAGAGAACAGAAAGAGCTTGAACCATGCCAACAGCAATAGCCCATCCGCACCCAAAAGTGGACTCGACAAGAGCAGCCTTAACAGGACTACAAACCAAGTGGGGGGCCTTTCGGATTCGGGCCGTAACTCGTTAACGAGCCTGCCCACGTATGGGACAGGCTACAGCCAGCACGTGGGTCCAATGAGCGCCTCCACGAGCCACATCAACCGCATCGGTACAACCTACGTGGACAAGAACATCGTGGGATACAACGGGATATCTACCTCAGACAGCGGACGGTCTTCGAGCAAGAGCACCTCTTCGTTCAACAGACTGAACCATCTCAACGAAACGATGCCTTTCCACTCACCTTCAACGGACGACATCATCCAAGACCTGGAAGATCGGCTGTGGGAGAAGGAGCAGGAGGTCCTCCAGATGCGAAGGAACTTGGACAAAAGCGAGGCAGCCATCTTCCAAGTGTTCGAGGAGAAGCAGAAGATCTGGGAGAGGGAAATGGAGGATTTGAGGCAAAACTATGCCAACAAATTGCAACAGGTCTCCAAAAAGGCGCAGCGGGCTCAGCAGGCCTTGCAGCTCCAAATCTTCAAGCTCCAGCAGGAGAAAAAAAAACTCCAAGATGATATGGGACAACTCCTCCAGCAACGAGAGGAGCTGGAGAAGAAATTTGTGGCTTTCAAGAAGGAACAGGCTGAGTTTCTCCCAAAGATTGAAGAGACCAAGTGGGAGGTAAGAGCCTTGTTGTAACAGATCTTGAGTGAGGTTTTCACTGAGGGCTCTGATAGCCCAAAATACCTCCCATTTGCCCTAAGTGGACCCCAGACACAATGGCTATGGGTTGGTGGCCTCCAGGTAACACATGACACTTCAGTCACCTCTTCATTTGTCTGAGCCCCGAGCCTGTAGTTTTTAATTAAACTAAAATGAGCACAATTGTTTTGTGCACGCTTCCTGTGCTGGTTAATAATTTGGCTTCACAGTCCGGTCACTCCAACGTGTGACATTTGAATACAGTTTCAGTGAATACAGGCCTTTCCATACAGGTATTTGTGCCTACCAAAATTGGGTTTAAGTCTATTTTAATTAAATTCTTCTAACATCTGTGTTTGGGCAAACCTTGAAACCGCTTTTCAAATATTTGATTTTTTTTTTTTATTTAAGATATAAAGCAAGTGAGCTAAGAATGATACCGATAGCCAAGTCTACCTCATGCTTTCCATTGTAACACGCTGTTTTCAGTTGCTAATAAGTTTATCTCTCTTAAAAGGCTGAAAGGCAAATTCCTCTTTCTAGTTCTCCTTTTGAGTTTTACATATTTTTTTCTACTGTTTCTATTTTTAGAACATTTTATCGAAGTCTGATTGTATAGCCAGTGCTAACATTTTTTTTCCGGCTTGATCATGTGAAGAATTTTAATCCTTCCATGGACTGGCTAGAAACTTTAAATTTATTAAGAGTGCAGAGGCAAAACGTAGCTCTAGAATCAAGACGACCCTATTCTGCTAATCCTGATGGAAAGTCAATGAAGCTGGGATTAATTAGGCTCTGAAATGTGCTATTTGCAGATGTTCAGCAGAGCTTATTAGAGGCTTGCCGTAAAATCTCTGCAAGTTACATCCCAGAACAAGCAGGCTGCATTGTCCCACATGATGCCTCCTTTGGCCAGCTGCTCTGCCCTGCTCTTTTGTGTCCTCCAACAGGTTAGGTCTGGAAAGTTCCCTGATTTTGCACCAGTAAAAATGCAGATAGGCTTTTGATTATTTGCTACACTGCTATAGCTCTGTCTGCAACAGCTAACCCAGTGATACCGATGTCAAGATAGAGACTCAGCTTGTGGATCAAGACACCTAACATTTGTAGACACCTACGCTTGTTGACTTGTTGACTTGCTCTCCAGGCTCCATGGACTGTACTGCCTAGATCTCCACAGCGCCCAAGCAGAGGCCAAAATTTAAGTGTTTTAATCTGTAAGCTGATTCCTATCCAAGCTGTTCTTCATCATGTATTTCTCTGCCTTTGGGAAGAGCTAGCCCACGGAGAGCACTTTTCAGTAAACTGTGCACGTTTTTTAGCTAGGCAGTAACTACGCCACCTTAACTACAGCTAAACCAGCGCGATACAGTTCTGCATCTGCTGCGGACAAGTGCTGGTGTGGATGTGGGTACTCACAGCGTTAGGTCTGCATGGGGAACCACCACGGCTGTCAGCTCCAGGGAAAGCTGCTACCAGTAGGAAGTGACTGGGTACGTCTCCTAGCTCTTCAGCCATTCGTAGTGAGCACTGGACTGTCCCGATAGCCGAGCTTCAAGGTCTTGCTCAACATTATGCACCAGGCAAGTCCTCTATAGCAGAGAAAGGTGGAGGTTGCAATGAAGGCAGTGGAGAGGGGAGTTTGTCTGAGGAGCATTGACCCAACTGGAGCAGAGCAGCAAGGGACCTTGCAGGCGCTGCAGGAGGGAGGAAAGGCCAAGCATTTCATGTGTGACAAGAGACAGGAGTTTCAGGAGGATGGGACATCCCAGTCTGGAGGTGGCTACCAAGTCTGTTTTTAATTATGCCTATCCTCTCTGATCACTGATGGTTCCTTGATGCCACTCCCCAGCCCAGACTCCTGCCAGCATAGGTAGGGACTGTTTGTCTCTGCAATCGTCCACAGTAGACAGATCAGATCTGCCAGTGCAGAGCCCTGAAAACCACGGAGCTCATGGGAAAATGAGGGTTTGGTCATTTTTATGGTTCACTTCCAATACCCACAACTGTTCATGCAACTGTCACTTTTGGTGGACTACGCAGGCGCAGAGGAGTGTCATATTGAATGGTGACACCTACGTAATGCAAATACACACTGCAGCAAGGGTATTTCCACTGGGCATGTGTACCCTACCACATGGGTGAGACCTGAGCCAGTCAGGATGAAACCTGAAACTCCGTTGCCCAAGGACAGTGCATGGTAGTCCCACTTTCAGCAAGGGTGGGTTGCAGCTCTCTCCTTGATCTTTGACAGAGGGGCTGTCGCTCTTCAAGCACTGCCCCAAAAGAATTAAATAGCTACCAGTCCCTGGACTGTCCCCAGTGAAGCGAACCCTAAAATTTAGTCAACTGGGTTCTTCAGGAGTCTTTGGGAAGGAAAGCGTCATAGGACAAGTAAATAATACCTACTGTCTCTGCATCCTGTCCTACACTCCCAGTGCTCAGGAGAGCCCGGGTGGTCTGTGGGTCTGAGACGTTTCTGTCTCAGGCTTGTTCAAGGTCCAGATCCCACTGAGGTCAGTGGGAAGACTCCTGCTGAGAGCAGAGGGTTTGGGGTCAAGCACCGCAGGCTTGTGGGTAGGTGAGTAAGATGAATGCAGGGAGGGAAGCATCGGTGTCCGCTCGTCACTGGTGAGGACCACAGCACTTAGCTTAGCTGTTTGGTCAACTCCAGCTGGGAACAGCATCAGGTCCCTCAGAGCCGGAAAGAAACACCAAATCTCCCCCACAAATGTGGGGACAAACTCTAGGTCTTTGGCATGTTCTGGGTCCTGGTGAAGGATGGAACTCAGTCCTTGAGCAGCGTTGCTGGCTGTCCCCTCCGTTACCTGAGCCTCCTGCCAACGCGAGGCCACACAGACATTTCACAGGCAGCGCAGGGGACAAGCAGCAGTGGCGGCTCTTCACTGCCTTCCTCCTGCCTCATGGATGCTCTCCCCGCAGGTGTGCCAGAAGGCGGGTGAGATCTCCCTGCTCAAGCAGCAGCTGAAGGACTCCCAAGCGGACGTCTCCCAGAAGCTGAATGAGATCGTGGGACTGCGGACACAGCTCAAGGAAGGTAAGAACTTCCTACGGGAGAAGGAGGAGCAGATCCTCACCCTGAAGGACTCCTACAGCTCCAAGAGCGTCAACCTGGAGATCTGTGAGAGCGAGCTGCAGCGGAAGATGAGCGAGGTCCAGGTGCTGAGGGAAAAACTGAACCACTGTGAGCTGGAGGTCTCCGGCCTGAAGCGGACACTTGCCAGCATGGGACCTCCAGGGCCTTTCAGTGGGGACCTTGGTGAGAAGCTGCAGGACCCGCTGGCCTGTGAGAGCGACGAAGCCAAGATGCAGCGGCAGAGCGAGGACAGCGTCAACACGCTGCGGAAGGAGGTGGAGCGGCTCCAGACGGAGCTGAAGCTGGAGCGGCAGCAGCGGGAGCAGCAGGTGATGGACTTCGAGGAGGAGCGGCGCACGTGGCAAGAAGAGAAGGAGAAAGTCATCAAGTATCAGAAGCAGCTGCAACTGAACTACGTGGAGATGTACCAGAAGAACCAGCTCCTGGAGCACAAGGTGAACGAGATGAACACGAAGGCCACCAGCCCCCCGCACACCGAGGAGAAAAAACCATGGACTCCCTCCAGACTCGAGCGAATAGAGTCCACCGAGATCTGAGGTGGGACCAAGACAATACAACATAATTTTTTTAATTGCTGTGCATGTACTACCTACTCAAGCCAGTGATCTTCCGAAGGATAATACGCTACCATAGGAGCGGTGTGAGTCTGCTCGCACCAAGCTCTCTCACCCTTACTCTATACTTCTGTGCTCTGTAGGTAAAATAACTGTGGATGTGCGTTGTTTTTCTATCGATAATGCGACATCTCTTTTGGTTTTTTTCCTAGTACCGCTGGTGAGGGTCAATTGGCTCTTTTGTAATCTGCCGTGACTGTTACTTCACTAGAGGCTGCCACCCCCTCTCCTACAATTCACCCCTCTTCGGTTGGTTGTTTTGGAGGGTTGCATTTGGTTTCTTTGGTTTTCCAAGCACTTACGCGCAGCAAAACAGTTCAAAGTGGCAGGTTTTTTTTTCAGGGCATTTTTAGCCACATTGGCTAATGGAGCAAAGCTCTCGGGATCATAAGCAAACTCACTGTTCTGCATCAAGTATCCTGTCTAGACAGACGGTGGTCTTAGTGAAGTCAGTGGGAGGTTGGTCACTGATTTCAGCGAAACCAGACATATCTCTAGCAGATGACTCCCTCTTGCCAGCCCATGGCTACCATGGTTGCAAGAGGTTAGGACATCCTTGAGGAGCAGGATGAGCCTGTCCTGGTAACATAAGCCAACAAGGAATGATCGCCCAGCAGGAGCCTCTGGAGGCTCAGGAGAGCTTGACATATGCTGCGTTTTCATTTCCTTGTGATTTCCTTCTGCAGTTCCACTTCTCTCCTGGGTTGTGACCAACGCTGGGAGCAGAAGTACCCTCCCACCTCTGCCTTGGTCCCCCTATTCTTATCATATACTCAAGCTGGCTACAGCAAGAAAAAAACCTTGGAAATCCAGGATAGTTTCCCTTCCCAAGAGCCCTCTTACTTCCCAAAGTCAATGGAAACAAGGTTTGGGGAAGCCTCCAAACCTGCGGGATGTTTATGCAAACTGAAGCTTTAGCAATTTGCCCAACAGTGGGCAATTGTGCTACCCCATTCCCAAATGAGTGATGCTTCGGTGCACTCTCTCGGTCCAGGGTCTACTTAAAAAATGGCATCCGAGCCTCACTCAGGAGTTGCAGTGAGCACATATCAGCATTACCGCTAGATTGCAACGGGGCGAGCGTTAGCCTTCAGTACAGCCGTTTCAAACAGCACCCATAGCGATCCCACGTGGCATCACATATTCCAAGGACAGCGATAACGCAGGCCTAGCTTAAGAAAATATTCAGCTACTAACTCTGAGCATGAAAGCAGTCATAAGAAGAGAAAATGCTTAAGATCACGCAAGTGCTTATGCCCTGGCAGAATAATAACCAAATCCTGTAAGGACAGTCGCCGAGAACGGTGCAGGCATCAAAAACCAGCATTCAGCTTTAAAAGGTGGGCAAAGTGGGTCTGGCTCTCCCTTTCACGGACACTTTTTTACTGTGATCCACAGCAAAGAGTAAAAACTGTTGCGAAGTGGAATTTGCACTGACTGGGCAGTGGCCAAAGGGTCAATGCAAGTGGGAATTCTGGCTCTTCACCCTAGGGAGCAGCTAGAAGAACAAAGCTAGAATTAGCACTGGGATGTCCTGGGACATCTATGTGAGGTGACTCCAGGGAGAGTTTCGCCAGATTGCATTTCATCTGCATACCAAGGAAGAACCTCAGGGTGTTGAGGGGCTGAAGACCTTCCAAACAAAAGCCCTGAAGCTACTCATTTCCCATGTTCCCTTCCCCGAAAGCTCCTCCCTCCCCATCACCAGGTCTGACCTTCAAGTTGGGACCAAACGTTGTTGTGGTGAGCTCCAGACTGAGCAAAGAGGCTGAGCAGGAGAGAGGAGACTTCAGCTAGTCCCACCAGCTCCAGCCAAGGTCACCAGACAGTATTACTGGGCAGGAACTGTTGGTGGCTGACAGCCATCCCTGCAGCCATAGAAAATGGAGATGTGCGATGAGACCAGGGCATTTCAAGATCCCAGTTGACGGCACCCGTCTTTTCCCACCGCTTCTGCCTGTGCCTTTGGAGCTGGAGGAAGACACAACCCATCAGTCTGGAAAACACCAGGGCAGCTCAGGCTAAGCCCCTCTCACTAGACCAGCCATAGAAAGGGGGACTAGGTCAGGTCTGACCCCTGAAGGGTGTAGAGATGAGTCCCACTACGAATCCTGCAGACGCTCCAGCGCTCTTGGACGTCAGCCTGCGCACCCCACTGAGGAAGGAGTGCAGCTGCCTGCCGGTGCCACCCTGCAGCAGGCTTTGCCATGCCAAGGGAGACACCCACATGTGCTGCGCAAACTTACACTTGGACAGGCAAATCCTAGAGCTTCCTCCATTTCATACACTGGGCCTTCAAGATGGAGTCAAACATCCCACAGCGTCAGGGTTGGAGATCTGGTGTCTTGTGTCATCTCGGCTTTCTGTGCCTCTCTTTCCACTTCAGATAAACCCACGCCGTCTTCCTTCACAAAGCAGCTGTGAGGCATCTGTGCTTGTGAAGGGCTTTGCAGTCCTTGGGCAAAAGGGAAAAGCATGGAGAAATTGCAAGAGGCTTAGTCTCAGATGGTCGTATGGTGTTTTTGAGGCCACCACATGAAAAGCAAACACAACAGCAAGTGCCCTCACCGCAAGATGAGTCCAATAACCTGGAGGGTCATTTCCACCTTTGCTCCTCCTGGCTCCACTGACGTTGGTTTCCCACTAACCATCGCAGGAATCAGCGTTTCAGTCGGTGGTTGAATAACACCCAGAGTGATTGAGTTTCAAGGATCTGCTGTTGAGGAGGTGTAGAGCACAATTCCCCGCTGCGTTAACACCCAAGAGGAATGGACACCGGCATCACCCTGTGGGACACCTTCTCACCAGAACTCCTTGCTAATCCATGGGCAGGAGAAGCAGGGGCTTGTCTGGCCTCCCCACATACCTGGATCCAGTCAGCAGCAGTCAGCCAAGCCCTCCAGCATACCAGGTTTGCTCCGTCATCTTCTTCCTAGATCTTTTTTGCAGTGGTGCCAGGAATGAGTGTGTCTTGATGGACCCAGTGAAACCTGGAGGCATATGGGTTTGTCTGACTGCTGGAGGGTGCTGGACTGCCCAGGGACTCAATGGCCTCACAGTGCATCCATCAGGGACTGCAGAGCTCCTTGGGATGGAGCAGGACCTTGGAGGAGGAAAGGTACACTCCCTTCACCTTCTTCTTCACTGCATCACTTTGATCTGGAGTTTCGATCCAGATCTGAGCAACCTCGACTGTGGCCATTCCCTGGATGACAGAGCGCCTTGCAGACACCCATCAAGACGTTGTGCTGATGATGGTGGTTTTCCCTCTCTTGGGATTCGCCCAGCATCCCCCAAGCACTCAGCTGTCCTGCAGAAACCAACCCCCTACGCTACGGTGACATAAAATACAGATGTTTTTGGCAAGTACCCCAGCCAAACTGCCAGGAAGGATTCCTGCTCTTCAGGAATCCTCCCCACAACTGGATGCACTGCTTCCCCTCATGTCCCCTCCCATGCGCTGGCACTGTGTGGCCACATGCTGGTAACCAGTCTCTCTCGGAGGTGACTCAGCAGAGATGGAGCAAAATGATGGTGAGACACCTGGGTTCCTGTTGTTTGTGCTCAGATCTGGCCCAGATGGGAGCTCACCTAGCTCCTTCCAGACCTTAACACTTTTACCCGCTGTCTGGATGAAGTCTCCCATCACAAGCTTGGTCTGCGTTGAGGCCCCGGGGTCTTAACCTTGGAGCAAGATAGCCAAGGGGTGCCAGACTGGCGTTTTGATGACATATCCTGGGAACGGCCAAGGAGGTTGACATCTTGTCTCTTGGAGGCTCAGGCAGGGCTGATAAAATGTTTCCGTCCCATGAAACTCACCTCAGAGTTTGTGCTTGACCATAACCCAGCTGCCTCCTCCACCTTTGCTCAGCCAGCTCTGGAGCTGATGGGATTCAGTGGGATGTACTGGCTCACGTGTACTTCTCCAAGTACTGCCCTCAAAATCTTGCACGTGGTTAGTGTCTCCACTGAAACAAGAAGTCACCTCTGACTTGCCATTGGCCAACAGCAAAAGCTGTGGTGACAAGGGTCTCAGGTCAGTTGCTCACACGTGGGGTCCAGGGACATTAGAGATGCTCTGGGATACCTGATGCATGGGGCTGGCCAATATGATCCAAGACCTATGGGAGAGCCAGGCCAGCGGTGGGAAGACCTGGAGCATCTCTAGTGGCGCATCACCCATGTGCGGGCAACCGAGTCGTGCTCCAGGCATGTCCATATGGTCATTATATGAGCAAACAGAGGACACTGATCAGCTCCAGCAATTTCCATCCATGAGGATCTGGGCTAAGCAGGCCATCCTGGGGCAAGGGAAGGTCTAAGCAGCCCCTCTTACCACTTGCTGCAAGTGGGGTTGCTTTGTTCCACCATCATTTCGAGGTTGGTTGCTGTCACTGTAAGACACCGACCCGGCTGAGCTAGTTCCCCTCGCGCAGCCAGCACTCCTGTCTCACCCTGGGTGTGAAAGCCGCAACCATCGCGCGTTGTTGTGCTTCACACAGTCCCACTTAGCTTCTGCCACTGTCTCGTGGCAGCCGGCTGCACTGTTCCTGCTGTCGCTGGCGTCATGCCGGAGGGAGATCACCTCCGGGTTTCCGCACTTAAAATAGGAATCAAATTGTTGCTCTTATGCTGCTACGTTATACGGAGACAAGTGTACTTGGATGTAAATAACAGCCCAGCTCTGTATATACAATGATTAAATGAAGAGACAAGAAAGCTCTGTGGCTTCTATATTGGTGAGCGGGATCGACAGTAGCAGCAGATGCTGCGTTCGAACGCCGAGCGCTACGCAAGGGTGCTCAGCACCCCCTGAGCTTTTGCTGGCTGCAGTGGAAATGGGGGGGGGCTCAGCACCTCCCAGGAAGGCAATCCACTTGGGATTGGCTCCGACAGAGTAGTCTGGTGTCACTCTGTCCTGCTTTGACGCTTGCTGTCATCCCGAGCCAGGATTTGCAGTTGCCCCCTGGTTCAGGCTGAAGTCCCCTCTGCCCATCCTCATGTCGCATCAAAGCCCCTTGCAGGCAGTGGCTTCCAGCGGTGTCCCCCTTGAGCCCTGCTTGCACATGAGCTCTGCCCATGGAAAGGACCAACCCACCCCACTCCTGCCCCTCGCAGTGGCACTTTATAGCTTGCTCAAGACAGCGAGCTCACAAGCAACATGACCAAAGATCTCCGGAGGGCATTGGGCTGCATGCTGGGAGCTGCCTCCCGGCTTTCCTGGGGAGGGATGAAGCTGGTGTGGGCTGGGAAGGGGGAACAAGAGCTGGCAGGGGACAGGAGAGGGCTTGGATTTCCCTGTGTCCCACCTAGGAACATTTGCAGGGCCATGAGGGGCCTTTCCTGTGCTAGATAGGACAGGGTAGCAAGGGGTTCCTGGGTGAGCTGATTGTCCCCAGTTGGTTACACCAGCATCCTCCATGGCCATGCCGACTAGCTCCATGCATTGCCCAGGGAGAGCGTGGACCAGGGGCTGTTCCCAGGAGGCAGAATGGATGGATGCAACTCCCCTTTTTTCTTGGAGAGAAGAGAGGATGCATGCCAAGCCATTACACTCGTCTTCAGGGCCACAGGTCTCCTCTACTTCAGCAGCAGACATTGCTACGGGGTCCAGACAAGGGCTTGTTCCGGCTCAGTGTTTTCGGGCCAGGAAAATGTGTATCCTGAGAGCTGGTGGTCCTGCTGGCTGCCCCTTTGGCGTCCTCTCCCCAGGTCACCCCAGGGCGTCCTCAGCACCCTCCTTACCAGGGAACCATCTTCCGAGGCAAAGGCACCATGGTCTTTGCTTCTCCTGCTTGGGGTGCTGATGACATCTCTGCTCACCTTAGCTCCATGAAGTCTCCTGAACCTGGTCCCAGCCTTGGCAAGTGGAGCGTAGGCCAGTGGGAGATCTGTGCTCCTCCGCCCACAGTGCTCCTGTGGATGGGTGCTCGGGTGGGTCTAGGCCTCGGGCACATGCCTCTTCACTGTGCCTCTGCTCCATGGTCGTGCTAAGCCTTCTCTGCTCCGTTCCTACCCAAGACCATGAAATCCTGCCGATGTGCAGTGACAGCTCGTGCCTCTTCACTGTGCCTCTGCTCCATGGCCGTGCTAAGCCTTCTCTGCTCCGTTCCTACCAAGACCATGAAATCCTGCTGATGTGCAGTGACAGCTCTCACTTCTGCCCTGGATGGGAGCAGGTCCAGCTTGCCGTTGTTCTAACCCAACCCTTCAGCCTGAGCCTTGAAGGCCACTTTATACTTTTCATCAAGACCCCTTGCTAAAGATCTGCTCATCATGTTGCCCGTGCCCTGCTACTCCTCTGCCCCAGCTCTCCAGACTCCCCTGCCTCCTTTTAGATCATCACCATCCCCGTCGTCTCAGGAGCAGTCAGTGCCTCTCACAGTACTCTCCCAGATATGTCTGAACAAGCCAGAGCAGAAGCCCAAAGCCCCCACTGAGTGGTGTGTCCCAACCCTGCCCTCAGAGGAGCTTTCCAGACTACTGATCCTCACTCTTCTCTCTGTCGTTCCCATGTCAGCTAGATCAGCCCTGCTTTACCTCCAAGAGCAATCTTGCTTCTTGCTGAAGGACATCCCCATGGCTTGCAATGACTTAACATCACTGCATGGGGCTTCACACCATCGCACCACCACATCCAGCCAGCTCTGGGGCTTCCCCGGTCCTTCCACTGTCTGGAAAGACAGAGGTGTGAGGCGTGTTTGAGTGCCCCTGCTCTGCAGGGGCACGCAGCACCCACGCCACCTGGTCCCCAGTGTATCGAGGGGCTGGGATCACAACTAGCTGTTTGCAGATGTTGGCTTCCCAATAGCATGTTCCATGCTGGCAGTGCAACTGCCGGCAACACCAGGAATGAACCTCTGCATTTCCAGGATAAGCCTCCTCCCTGGTTCTCCCAATGAAGGGGATCGTATTAGATCTGGAGCCTGGGACAACCTCTGACACGCAAGGTTGTGTTTTCACGGCTCTCTTACAGATCTGTTTTCTCAGACAGAAAGTCTCTGCTTTCTGTCACAAAGCAATAGGTTTTTCTAGAGGGATTTAGAAGGGACTATTCCCAACTCTGATACCTGCAGGCAAGCCAATGTTCCCTTGAATACCTTCATAGCTCCAGCCCTGGGCTCTCCTCCTTTGGAAAGGGATGCGAGGTCCAGTCTGGCTCCAAATAATCACCAATGGTTTGAGCTTGGCGGTCCCCATTTGTCCGGAGAGCCCGAAGCTGCCCATACCCAGCAGGCCACCAGTCTGGGTCCCCAGGAGGTGTGGTCCATCCCCCTCCGGTGCCCATTCCATGACTGCTACTGGGTCCCCGCAGCAGGTCTTCTCGTCCCCATTCCCGGAGAGCCCGAAGCTGCCCATACCCAGCAGGCCACCAGTCTGGGTCCCCAGGAGGTGTGGTCCATCCCCCTCCGGTGCCCATTCCACGACTGCTACTGGGTCCCTGCAGCAGGTCTTCTCCATCAGCTCACTCACATGGGAGCCGCTGGGTCCCCTGGGGCATCTGAGCTCAGAGAGTCACGTTCGGTGACAGCCAGACACCAGTGGGAGATCATGGCGCTGGCTCTGCCGTTCCTGAGAGCCAGGCTGTCCTAGGAGCCCTCTCGGAGGAGAAGGTCCCCTTTGCCCCACGGGCGGCACGTGGGTTCCCTTCCAGTGGCCGAAGGGAGCAAAACGTGCGCGGGTAGAGCTCCGCCACCGGTGCGAAACTGCTCCATCACCGGTGCAAAAAAAAAAAATGCTGCACAACCGGCCAATGTGTCTATGCAGTCCCTTTCCACGCAGCGGCGTCCCCGCAGAGCCCGGCCCAGGGCTGGAGCTCCTCCAAGGCGTCTTCGTTTGCACTCACTCGGACCTGGTAAACGCTGTGAGCCGAGAGGAACCCCTCTTGGTCTTTGCCTTGCACCGGGCAGTACGCTTGTGAGGGTTTCCTCATCCTAAATCGATGCACGTTGCTTAGTTGCCTGTCTTCTGTGTCTGTTCTTCAGCAGATCAATAGGTGTCCCCCCCAAAACCCAGCTCCCCGATGGGAGAACGTCAGGTTGGGCCAGCCGGCGCCCCCGCGCAAGCCTGCTGTCTGATTTCACCAGCAATAAAAGCCCCGCGGAGGAGCAGCCAGAGCTCTCTGCTGCCGCTCCACCGCCGGGTGAGCTGCAGGCTGTGTCTGTGTGTAGGACCTCTGCTTTAGACCCTTCGTCCAACGTTTTGGACCTTCCCGACTGTAAATTCAATCCCAGCCTTGTGCTTTCTTTCCTCTCGTCCGTTTCTTGACACCTTGGTCTCTCTCTGCTCTTACTGTGAATTCAAACCAGAAGTGTTCTGAACTCGACTCTGTTACTGTTTCGTTTCTGCGTTGACTGTTGCTGGTTCTCCGAACTGCGTTTAACGAGACTTTGCAATACAAAATAGAATATTTAAAAAAGAACTCCATAAAGTTGAGTGTCTCTCCTGTCCACTGGTCACTTCCAAACACCGTTGTCTTGACTTTGCCTCTGGTCAGTGTATTTAAAGACAAGAGGTGGAAAAAGAAAGAGATCAAACGCAGCATTCTGGGGTTTTTGTACAGCAAAGGTGTATCCGTTTCGGAAATTCTCGTTAAAACTGTACCGCACTTCCCAATCTACTGCTAGTCTGTTGTATGTTTCCATTGGGTTGTCAAGATGTGAAGAACTACTGCCTTTGCGATTTTCTACAGTGAATATATATATATATCTGTACAGAGATATGTATATATATAAATATATATGAAGATCTATATGTATACGTATCTCTCACTGTCCTATCTCTACCTAACTGTGAAGGATTTTTATTGGGCAAAATAAAATGGAGAAAGGCCCCGTTTTAAAAACCCGACCGCGTGGCTCGTCTGGTTGTGTTGCGGGTGGGAGAAGCGGCAAGACCCACGTTGGCTTTCGGGAGGGACCCGCAGCCGGGCGGGGGAACTGCAGGGAGACGGCCCCGCGAGGGAAGACCGCAGCTAGGACACACCAGCACCCTCCGGTCGAGAGGTTCCTCGTAGCTCCCGTCCTGGAGGACGGAGAGCGGCCTGGTGTGGCGGAGCGGGAGGGGAGAGGTGGAGGTTGCCAGGAGCAGAGCGGGACGTTGCGCGTGTCCGGATGGGACGTTCCCCAGTCCCGCTTTCCCGGGGCACAGGGGCTGCTCCGGCTCTTCAAGCACTCGAGAACAAGCACCAGAAGGCCACCGTGGTGGCCGCAGGGCTGGACGAGACGTTTGTGTTTGAGGTCCCACCCCACTCCGTAGCTCAGATCCCCATGGATGTGTCTGGAGCCATTGGGGATGCCCCAGGGCTAACCGAGAAGGACGCAGGCTTTCCATCGGTCCCACAGCCGCGGCATCTCCCAGCCCCCCCGCGGATGTCCAAGACCTCCCAACGCTCACGTAGGTGACTGAATTGCTCCCGAGCCCGCCACCGCTGGCTCCCGAGCCCGGCTCAGACCTGAGGGATTTCCAGGTGAGGACACACTGGGGAAGACAAGACCCAAGCGGAGATGCCAGGCATGGCCCTGGCGCCAGCCATAGCGGTGGGAACCCGGCATGAGCTAATTCCCCTTCCCTCCCGTGCCAAGGCCTCGCTCGGAGCGGCCACATCTCCCGCTGCAGCATCTCTCTGGGGTTCCCCCAGCTCTGGGGCTCAGAGGCTGCCACCTCCCAGAGAAACCTCCGCTGTGCTAGGGCCGCAAGGCTGGGAAGGCAGGCGGTTTGGGGGGGCGGCCGGCCGGGGGGGAGGGGAAGGG